CACACACACAACTTGCTCTCACACGCAACTTACTCTCACCCACAGCTCTCTCACCCACAACTCTCTCACACACAACTTGCTCGCACACAACTCTCACACACACAACTTGCTCACACAACTTGCTCACACACACACACACGACTTACTCTCACACGCAACTTACTCTCACCCACAGCTCTCTCACCCACAACTCTCTTACACACAACTTGCTCGCACACAACTCTCACACACACACAACTTACTCACACACACACACAACTTGCTCACACACACACAACTTGCTCACACACAACTTGCTCACACACAACTTGCTCTCACACACACACAACTCTCTCAGACACAACTTACTCTCACACACAGCTTACTCTTACACACAACTCACTCACACACCCACACAACTTACTCACACACACAACTTACTCTTAAGCGAAAACTCTCTCACACACAGCTTACTCACACACACAACTTACTCACACACAACTTACTCACACACAACTTCCTCACACACACAACTCTCTCACACACAACTTACTCTCACGCACAGCTTACTCTCACACACAACTTACTCTCACACGCAACTTACTCACACACACACAACTTACTCTTACGCGAAAACTCTCTCACACACAGCTTACTCTCACACACAACTTACTCACACACCCACACAACTTACTCACACACACACAACTTACTCTTACGCACAACTCTCTCACACACAGCTTACTCACACACACACAACTTACTCACACACACACAACTTACTCACACACAACTTGCTCACACACACACACAACTCTCTCACACACAACTTACTCTCACGCACAGCTTACTCTCACACACAACTTACTCTCACACGCAACTTACTCACACACACACACAACTTACTCTTACGCACAACTCTCTCGCACAAAACGTACTCACACACACACACAACTTGCTCACATGTGTGGCAGCCGTGGCACTTGGCGACATCCAGTGTCATTTGGCGTGGCAGGCGTGGCACTTGGTGACATCGACCTGCACTTTATGTGGCAGGTGTGGCACTTGACGACATCGACCTTCGCTTTCTGAGGCGTGGCGCTGGGCTGGCTCTGGTGCCGCGCTTGGTTCCCGTTTGACGCCGTTGTCGCAGCGGCTGTTTGTGTGGTAGGCGTGGCACTTGGCGACATCGACCTTCTGTATGTGTGGCAGGCGTAGCACTTGACGACATCACCTTCGCTTTCTGTGGCAGGCGTGGCGCTTATGGCACTGGGCTGGCTCCGGCGGCGCGCTTGGTTCCCGTTTGACGCCATTGTGGCCGCGGCTGTTTACGCACACACACACACAAACACACACACAAACACACACACAAACACAAACACACACACAAACACACACAAACACACACAAACAACACACAAACAACACACACACACACAAACAACACACACAATCAACACACACAAACACACACAAACACACACAAACACACACACACAAACACAAACACACACACACACAAACACACACACAAACACACACACACAAACACACAAACACACACACACACAAACACACACAAACACACACAAACACACACACAAACACACACACAAACACACACACACACACAAACACACACACACACAAACACACACACAAACACACACACAAACACACACCCAAACACACACCCAAACACACCCAAACACACCCAAACACACCCAAACACACGCAAACACACGCGCACGCACACGCACACGCACACGCACACGCACACGCACACGCACACGCACGCACACGCACACGCACACGCACACGCACACGCACAAACACAAAACACACAAGTCCATCACACTTTTTCGGTTCTCGTTGCTACCGTACCCATCCCTTAACACGCTCTTTCACTCACATCCATTTCACGCAAGAATATTTCACGCACAACTCTGCCACGCACAGCTCTTGCACACGCCCCCTTCACTTTCCCGCTTTTGCCAACCCATCTTCACATATCTTCACCTTTCTTTTGCTACTTATTGGAAAAAATGACATGTGGGGTTATCCGGTCCTTTAATTGTTGTTTGTCTGTTGAGCAGCACCATCCTTTGGGACCCACCCAAGGACCTCATTGACTTTCTGCATGTGAATGATTTCTTCGGAGACAACGTGAATGAACCACGATTGGGGCATTTTGGACGAAAGGAGCAGGCAGGGTCCTTGCCGGGAAGCTTCCAACGTCTGCCATGCTTGATTGAAGGAGGAGAAACACCATTGGAGATATTGACCAAGAAAACACGGATAGACAACCAAACAATGAACAACAACATTTGTGAGCCACGGCTTGAATTTCAACACCGCACTGGGAGAAATCAGTTCCACCGTTTACAGACCCTTGTATCCAATCACTCATTTTAATTCGGTATTATTATTATTCCTTACTTGTGCCGTACTTGTATTTTGTTAAAACATGTCAAAACCATATAAACCCTGGACAAAATGGCTGATCCATTCGGCGTGTCGCCCCCGAAAAGTCGCCCAAATAGCGGTCCAGTGACCTAAAAGGCAGTACTTTTGGGATATATGAATTATTATCCTTTAAGATAGGCCTTAGACAACTTAAAGTGAACCTCCCAAAGGATAGAAAACAACCATAATTCACCATCAATATCATTGGGATGCACACGTTCATCCCCTTGTATCGTCAAATTTATGTGTCATGATTCAGCGACCTTGGCATGACCAAAGCACATACATGATGAGTGGGATTGAAGGGAATCTTTCCAAAATTGCCAATTATTCTGGGGTACATTTAGGTTAATCAAATAATCAAAATGATTTTTCATCAATTTTGGTGCTGTGGATAAGTAACCCCATTAATTCTGATAGCTGTAAATTCTGAATTTGATATCATCGGAGCTTCCACAAATGGGTTATCCGAATCTTAAAATTTGACTGCTTTTAATTTGAAGGGTCTATGCAGGGTGGGGTGCAGGGGTGGTGGGGGAAGTCCATCCTGGCGCCCTGTAGCGGCCAAAACCAAACATATAGCATTGGTTGAACAGATCTTTGGAAGTTTGAAACTAGCCAGTCATAAAAAGAATCCCCGTTTACTTTTCCCTCATAATAGTCAAACATGGAAACTGCCTCCATGCTTCAATCGATGATTCGGATTCTTTCCAAGGATTTGAACAAATTATGGTTTTTCCATGTTTTTCCTGTTCCTGGGTGGGCCCAATAGGTGATACAGTAGGAACTACTGACAGGAGGGAAGGCCTTTGAAGAGGGCAAGTGGCTGGTGTAAGCAAAAATAGTGAAAATGCAAAGATTTACAAATCAGTCTAAGTGCATTTAAGATAGTCACTGATGTAAGGAGGGGGCCTGGGAGACCCCCTCCTTACATCAGGCGGGAGCGCTCCGGAGTGATGTAAGCCTACCCTTAACTATCTTAAATGCGTAGGGTAAAAACTCATTTAGGTTTAGAGCAGTCAAAAAAATTGCCTTCAATGAGCTGCGCCTGTCACGGGCGGGCAAGGGCTAAGATTCAAGATTAACACACTTCGTGGTAACCATTGCCTGGGTAGATGTTCCAATAACCATTGGGATTTTCAGAGCGAACCATTTCATGGATTTAGCAAAGTTAGCTCTGAAAATGCCAATTATGGGAAAGAACCTGTGCAAAAAAACGGGGTTTCAGTTCCAAGGGTTCTCTATTTCCAACTTTGCGCTACCTGAGAGGGACGATCATCCATCGGATCAGCCCGAAAATTGGTGTGTGGGATGACCCTCCAAGTATCCAGAAAATATTGACACGATCAGTGACTTACCACAGCAAAAAAAAGCAAAACATATTTCCCTACATGAACTGTAAATGGGGGTATGGATGATTTCCCCTTTGCCAACTTCATTTTTATCCCACGATATTCTCTCAGATATGATTCTAAGTAATACTGAAATTGCAGATGATGTCAACTTTCTTGGTCTATTCTATCATTTCCATCCCTATTTTTCCTAATAATAAACAGAAACTACCGCGTTTCGCTTTGGCGCAGATGTAGCAGGTGTGGCCCATTCACATTGCCGCTGAGCTGGGTGATGCCGATCTCTTACGCCGCTTGCTTCGAGCAAAAGCAGATGCGACACAGGACCGAAGATCGACCGGGTCGATGAAGCAACCAGGTGACTTAGATGGGCCATGGAACATACCCGAACCAAATGGATATTTATATGGGAAAATGATTAAATGATTAAATGGTAGACTTTCCATTGCCATGTTTCATAATCGGAGCGTAGTTAAGTGGATAGTGACTGGTTTATATCCCCTTATAACCGGATTACACCGAGCAGCATATATTATAGTATATATATTATACTAACTATACATATTATATAAAAGATAAACTATAATATATATATATAAAATAACAAAATAAATAATACTATAATATAATATAAACTAATAAAACATAACATGATATAATATAATAAAATAAGATAACATATAACATAATACAATATATAATAGCATAAAATATAATATAATATAACATAAGATAAAATAATATATATATATACAATAAAACAAAATATAATATAACATGATCTGATATAATATATATATACAATATAACATAATATAATTTAATATCATATGACATAGTAAAATATAAAAATAAATAAAATATCACATACAAATATAATATAATAAAATAAACATAAAATAAAATAAAATAATATGATATAATATAAAATAATAAAATCAAATATAATATAATAAAACAAAATAATATAATATAATAAAATATAAAATAATAAAAAAATATAATATAATAAAACAAAAATAATATAATATGATATAATATAAAATCATAAAATATAACATAATATAATAAAACAAAAATAATATAATATGATATAATATAAAATCATAAAATATAACATAATATAATAAAACAAAAATAATATAATATGATATAATATAATAAAACATAATATAATATAATATATTATATTATACTATATTTTATATATACAATATAATATAATATAATATAATATACTATCATATAATATAATATAATATAATATAACAATATAATAGATTTAATGATATATAAAATACAATATACATAATGTATATAATGTATATAATGTATAAAATATATAAAATATATAAAGATATAAATATACAATACATATATATATAATATAAACATAGAATATATATATATAGCACATGTAATTTAAATTATATATATATCATTTTTTTCGTGTATTTGTATGCATATACATGATGGGACAGCGGATGGAATATACTGGGAGATAAACGGATATAGAATCAACGCAGTATGATATGGGTTGGAGAATGAACATGAGTTAGATTTCCACCACTCTATGACCATTTTTGGTAGTGACAATGTGGTCTTCAACTTGGCCCTATTTTAGGCTGTGCCCCCGGGGCCCCTTTCGGACAAAGGCCTTCTATGTTTTGGGGGATAGCAAAAACCGAGAGCAGATGAACATGTGACATATCCCACATGGGGTTGCACAACTCATGCTCTTAATCCAACGATAATCCCAATATATAAATCATAATAAACTGATGAAATTGTCAAGAATGGATTTGACCTCTCTCGGACATTCATTGATGTTCACACTTTTACCTGTGACACCGACCACCCGGTCCACATCAAACGTGAGCCGGTGATCTAAAAGGTAGGATCAGAAACCAACAAAAATAAACGGATTTCAGAAACCAAGAACAGATATTATATATGTCATATTTACCAACATAAATGGGAGCGAACAACACCAGTCCCACTTCAATGCAACACATATAAACAGACTAACAACATAATTTCACACACAATGAGCTGCGAACTGTCTTCTCCGGCTGGTGATTTCAATCTTTTCTATTAATTAATCCATTTGACTTGCCCCCTGCAGCAGAAGTAGTTAAGGAATAGGCAGGAAAACCGTGGAAATGAATTGCCAGTTGGAAATGGGATTTGATACTCTCCCCCTCTCTCTCTTTATAACTTCTCTCAGAAATGCCTACAGACTGGTAGTTCAAACTGGAAAATTGCGCCCAGCAAGCCAAAGAATCATGATCATCCCACTTAGTCACTAAGTAACTTACAACATGCCACTTACAGTATGGTCACAATTGGGTTTGTCTGAGTATCTGCGTTTGTTTTTTGTCAAAACGATGATCATCCACTAGATTTTGGGGTATATTATCCTATTTTCAGACGGACTCCCCAAAAGCACTCCCCCAATAGACCCCCTAAATCCGGGGGAGAAGCTATCTGTGCTTCCGATCCAAATCATTCTAACTTTGATTAGGGTCAAAATTCTGCAGTCCTAGAAGCATTATTTGGGTCATTGTTTTAAAATTATCAACATGGTTTGTGTACCCAGTTTGACATGTTGGGAATTCCGAGATACCCAAGCAGCCTTGCCGAGAGAGAGAGAGAGGTTTTTATGAGTCAAGCCGTTAGGTAGGCCTTAGGTAAGCCTTATTGTAATTAGGTATTGTCTCAGAACTCAGAAAGTCCCGAAGCTTGCGACTGACCACAAACACATTGGGATTGGCACCACTTGTATTGCAGTTGCGGGAATAAGCTAAGAAACACTATAAGAAACAAGTCACTTTGAATCATTGGGTCATTGCTACATATGTAAATATACGTATATTATATATACATATTTTGGTGGACATCACTGTCACATTTTTTAATTGATATCCGCAGAAATAGTAACTCAATTTTTTTTGGCTGTATCACCATCAGCTGCGTCACCAAATCAGTTGCATCGCTATTTTCATTTGTCAAATCCACCATGTTTCAATCTTAAAATGAGTTCAAACAGCATTTTAAATGTGTTTCAATGGCCAAATCCACCACTTTTTTTATAGATGTTCATGGTCAAACCATGTTAAGCCAAGCCTCCATTTTCCCATGTTCGCGGTATTCCAAAAGCTTCCATTCTCGTCGCCAGGAGACGTCTGCAGGTCGAAGGGCCATAGACCTGGCGGCAGAAGCGGATCAAAGGGGCTCCCATGGGAAACTGGTCATGAATTTTCTCCAAAAATCGGAGGAAATAGGTGGAATTTTCCAATGGCCCGAGGGGAAAGAGCTATTTTTAGGTTGGTGAACGATTCGAATTCAAAAAACGAGTGTACAAGAACTATTTTTCAACTCATCTGAATTTTCGAATCTTGCAGCAACCCCCAAAAAGATAGAAACGTGATTTACCACTATTTCGGATAGTCGGATTTCCGAGTTGCTAGAATTTGAATAGTAGAATAACAAAGATCATCGTGATGTGTATGAAAAACAGGGGGTCTAGTAAAATATGAGAATCTTAATAAGAATCTCAACACTGGGTTTAACAACTACTAAACTATTGGAATTAATCTCGATAATCTCACTGCAATGGTATGACAACAATGATCTTGCTCTCTCTCTCTCTATATATGAGTCCGGACTCAGGATCCCTGGCCCCCCCCAAGGGTATGGTCCCCCAAGCTCACGCTCTCGGGAACACGGGACACGGGACCATATATACATACATACATACATACATACATACATACATACATACATACATACATACATACATACATACATACATACATACATACATACATACATACATACATACATACATACATACATACATACATACATACATACATTACATAAATACATACATACATACATACATACATACATACATACATACATACATACATACATACATACATACATACATACATACATACATACATACCATACATACATACCATACATACATACCATACATACATACCATACATACATACCATACATACATACCCCATACATACATACCATACATACATAGCATACATACATAC